ATCCAGGGCCACAAATTGTTCCTCCCCCGCCTAATTCCCCACCCCCGCCTCCTCCATCAGAATCTTTAAATTCAGAGAATTTGAAGCAATGCCCACAGAACCAGTGGCAGGGATCCTTGAATAAAAGTGGGATTCATTACTGCAAAGTTTATGCACAGAGGGTAGAATCTGTTGTTTGCAAGTATTCAAGTGCTGTTGCTGAACCAACAGAGTAAGGAATTGGAATTTCTCTATATTGCAACCATTCTTCAATTTGGCAAAGGGGTAGTTTTCTTACTCTATTTTCATCGCTTGTGCTTCTAATATGTAGGTGGCCTGCAAAGTTAGATATGACAAAACGCACAGATTTTCAGCACGTCAAATCTACATTTTCTAGTACCCCTCCTAACAAAGTGAGTTTCTAATGCTGGACCTTTTTTTCTTATATATATGTTGTGCATACCAACCTACCATCTCTTATTTCTTTAAAGCACAAGGGATACAAACTTTTTTGTTTCTTTATGTTCAAAGTGCAAAGCAAGTCTTTAGCCCATTTCTAGGTTTTCTCGTTTATTATTGTTATTGTGGTAGTCAATTATTATATTCGGAAAATATTGGAGTTTTGATCCCTTAGGTGAGTGTGTTCTTATCTCGACCCTCTTGAATAGTGTTTACCTTAGATTGCTACTGCGGTGTGAGACTTCGTAAGATATTCCACACTATTTTTTGGTCAAAGTAAGGTTTAATGTGTGCATCAAGATTGTTCACAATGTTTGAGAATATCTCAAACATATCTTCAATCGCCTCATTCTCCATGGAAAAAATACTCACATCATGGGTAGGTAAATCTATTTTAGCTTTCCAATTTGGGACATACCTTCTTAACTTACTTCGAGTTTGTCCCACAATTGCTTGGTAGTTTGGCAACAAGTGATGTTTCGATAGTCGCTCGGATTGACCGCATAATAGAGCAAGTTGATGGCCTTGACATTAATTTCAAGCTTCAACTTTCTTGATGTCGACTTCATCATACCCCTCTTAGGTCTTTCTATTTGATGCTTCTTCAACTTTCTTCGTTGGTATCTCGCACCATTCCTTACAATTTACAAAAAGCTACTCGTTTCTTCCAACAGGCCTTGTTGATTATCCTTCGTTAATATTTACGTTCAACATTCTTTAAACAACATAGATCGTCCTCTCAAACAATTAAGTCTATTTAGAGAACTTGACTATGATACCAATTGTTAGAAAATGTGCCCAGCTTTAGAGAGGGTGAATAGAATTGTAGTGAATGTTGTACAATTTTCAACCTATATAAACAGAGGAAGAAAGTAACGTGGAAAAAGTAAAAAACAAAGAACGAACACAAGGATTTTGTCCTGTTCCATCGTAACTTGTGGGTGTGGCTAATCAGTCTAATTGTCAAGCTTATGGGTGTTTGACAAATCATTTATAATTGAGACTTATAACCCACAAATCTCGAACCCTTAGGGATATAGGATACCTCACCTTAAGACACATCACCAAGATTGCGGGTTCTTGGCAAACTATTGTAACACTGAGATTTGTTATGAAGGAAACCCGACATTCGTTGATCACAAAAACAACAACAACAACAACAACAACCCAGTTAAATCCCACAAGAGTAGGGTCTGGGGAGGGTGTGTGTACGCAGACCTTGCCCCTACTCGAAAGTAGAGAGGCTGTTTCCAAAGAGACCCCCGGCTCAACGTCGAAAGTTGCATTGCTTGACTAACTGCTACTTCATTAATTAGAGAAGCGCAGATAGTTTAGAGATCCATTTTGATTTATTCCATCACACCCCAAAGCCAAAAAAAGAGAATATATTCTTAGCCTNGGAAACCCGACATTCGTTGATCACAAAAACAACAACAACAACAACAACAACCCAGTTAAATCCCACAAGAGTAGGGTCTGGGGAGGGTGTGTGTACGCAGACCTTGCCCCTACTCGAAAGTAGAGAGGCTGTTTCCAAAGAGACCCCCGGCTCAACGTCGAAAGTTGCATTGCTTGACTAACTGCTACTTCATTAATTAGAGAAGCGCAGATAGTTTAGAGATCCATTTTGATTTATTCCATCACACCCCAAAGCCAAAAAAAGAGAATATATTCTTAGCCTCTTTCCAATGAACTCTCACGAAGAGTGGATTACGAGATATAAGGAATACTCTATAAATAATGCTAGAACTTTTGATAATGGCTGAACAAAAATTTTAATCAATAATACAAAAGTTTCTAAGGACTTCATTCTCAAATTCATAGTTTCTAAGGACTTCGAGCTCGTGCGAATGAGCTCTCTCTTTCTCTCTTCATGTTTATCGGCCAATTCATTCGCATTTGTTCTCGCTTTGCATGCTGCAGCAGCTAAGTTGTGCCCGTCATTGGGAAACACTGCCTCTCCTTCAAGCCATCAACTAACTCAAAAGGAATGCCTTGTGACATGTAGTTACGCTTGGGAACATAACATAAGCCTCACAAGTTTTGTTTTAAGTCTATTTATTTTGGTTTTATCATTCCTAAATGGCTAAATCCATGATGAACATATTAGAGTCGCTAAACCCCACAAAAAATCATAAAACCCGTTGTCGGAAATCCAAGCCAACAATATTCTTCAGATTATAGTTTCACTTAGACCTCACAGCCTATGAGCTGATTCAAGCTATAGGCAGACACCATACTTCACTGCTTGAGTACTTCAGTACTTCAGTGGTTTAGATGTGGCACTGATCTATTTGATTAAAACATAAGGAATCTGATAAAGCTTGAGTCAAGTTGATTGAATTTAGAATGAAAAAGTGTACATCAAGTCCCAATTCGAGAAGGGGTAGTCTCCAGATTCTCGAAGGAAAATACCATGAAAATAATCACACAAGAAAATAACATGACTCTATGTAATACATCCCACTCCAAGGGTAGTTGGGTAACTGCTACGTAACCACCCACTCAGCCACTTAGTGGGTTGTTTGAAATGCCCATTAACATTTTGAGCTGCTCCACTTCTGCCTGCCCACCCTTTGCCATCTTCTTTTTCCTTCTTGAATACGCCAATCTGATTGGAGGCTTATCAGAATCATTCAAATTTCAAAGTGGTGTCACATGTGGACATACAGTGAAATAAAAAACGAAACCATTTGTAGTTAGAGCTGTAAAATCATTAGATTTCGTGATTGTCCCATGTAATTTATTGTTGTTTATTAATCACAACAAGCCCCTTAAGAGAAGTGGATTGTTTTCAAAAAAGGATGTACCCCCCCTCCCCCCCCATTCATATTAACATGAGACTTGTGTATGAGGAAAGTACTTTTTGCTAGCATTGATTAAATGTGTAGTTGGAGGAACCTAGGAGGTAGTTTTTCATTTATCTGACTCATGAATGATGTTCAATACAATGCAGAGGGAGATATGCTGGTTACTTCCTGCTTCTCAAGATGACCATAAGGGTGTAAGTGTTATTCCTCTGTTCTAATTGTATTGGGTTTTGATTAAGCTGTAATTTCCACTGGTTTTTTTTGTTTGTTTACCGAATGTGATTTTTCATCAATATATGCTTGATACAGTTAGTGACTTGTTACTATTGTTTTTTTTAATAATCCAGTTTCAGGATTTCATATCATACTTGAAACAGAGGGAATGTGCGGGTGTAATTAAAATTCCAGCAGTAAAATCTATGTGGGCTAGAATTCTTTTTATCCTTCCACAGTGTCCAGAGACCTGGTCCATGCTTTCTCTTGAGCCCAACCCTGGGCCTTGCCTCATCGGTTTAGTCTTGCCTAAAGAAACAAACTTTGAATGGGTATGAGACGATTTAGTGTACCATCAAAATGGCGACTCTGCTTTGCAAGTGGAAGTTGGCAGCGCTATTCAAGGAGAGAAAGGTAAATATAGCACTTTGCAACATTTTAGGAAGGACTAGCTGACCAATTTTGCTTTGTAAATATGTCCACTTTGATTAGGAAGTTATCTTCAGGTATTAAATTAAACACAGATGTCCAATGTTGGGGTTGTGTTTAGGATTGTTTTCATTTAATCATATGAAGGGTGTTATAGACTAGAAACACTTGTGAGAGTTAGTTAACCTCCTCTTCTTTATTTCCTCTTTTTTTTCTTCTCAGCCGTACTCATTATACTCCGTAATTAATAAATAAGCAAACTGCAGTTTTGGGGATTGCCTGAACACTTTGATTTTGTTGCTAATTCAGATGCCACTTAAGAAGTCTAAGAGTGTAAATCTCAACTGTTGTTATTCAGCAGATTTTTTACACTCCCTTAACTTTGGTCTCTCAGGTAATATTCTTTTTCCATTACACCTTTTGATTTGATGTTTTTTATTTTTTGTAGCTCTAAACTGAAAAATAAAATATAGGTCGAACATTACAGTACCATATGTACATTGTTGAAAGTAAATGCAGTGGGGATACATTTGGTATAAAGGAATGTGCCCCATTTTTATTACGATTGTTACTTGAGAAAAGTCTTAGGCTATGTCACTCTAAGCCTTTGTAAAATTAATTAGCAGAATAAAACACACTCTCTTTGTCTCTAAAAGATTATCATTTTGCGTAAAACAAAGTAAGATTCTAAAATTTTTCACTCTATTTATTTAAAGGTTAGTATATAAATAATAAAAAAATAAAATAAAACTTGCATATATAAATATTATATAAAAATTTACATAACAAAAGGTAACAAAAGTATTTTATTTTACAAAGTATCAAATAACAAACAGTACACAAAACAAAAGTCACATTAATCTGGGAATAGTGCATTTTTTAGGGACAGAATACCAATTGGAATAGTGAATAGTGCAAAGTTACCAATTGAGTATGTGGAATTGCTTAGGGGGTTAGTAGTGTAGTAGTAGTAGTACTTGTACAGGTCAAATGGTCAAAATGAAATTTATTGTCATGAAACCTAGTGAAAAGCCATCCCAACAACTGCTGGAACTCATTGCCTTAAACATACAGTTGCAGATAAGTTGGTGTGTTCAATTATTTAAGGTTTAGTACTGTGTTGGATTTTGTGCTACAATCAAGAAGACACAGACCTACTTGGTTGTCAGTTAACTTGTGCACACACCCAATAATAATACTCCTAGTAATAATTACAATAGTAACACTTCATCCCAAAAAATTTTAACCCCATGACTTTAATGAAATTAAGAAAAATATTAGGGAGTAAAAAAGTGAAAAAAAGTTATTTGGTTAGAAATGTATAGATAAGAGAGAAATCTTGTGAATTACATGTTCATTAATTAAAAAAAATAAAGAAATATATTATGGAATGTTCAAAAAATGGTCTTTTTGAAATTAAGAGAGAACTCCGTTTTTTTGTTGGAGAAATGACTAGTCCTTATTTGATAAATAAAATAGATTGTAGGTGAGTAGTTAAATGATAATAATGCTTTTTCAATAATTTTAAATTTCACTAAAAGTAAAGGGAAGATGATTTTTGGATACATTAATATGTTAAAAGATGATTTTTGCGTAAAAAAAATTTAATGTAAAATTTTGAGTAGTCAAAGAATTTAGTGTAAAATAAAAAAATAAAAAAAATATTTATCACATCCATATCCATGTGTCTACACACACCCACACTAAAACGCATGCTTTTGTCAACAACCTATTGTTGCTTTTATAAAATCCACCTTATACCCCTAAGCTTTTATTTCATGAAATTTATCATTTCTAAACCGTGTTCTCTACTTAATTTGCTTGTCAAATCTCCTCTTAATCATATACTCCCTGCGGCTCAAAATAAAGTTTATGGATTGGATACACATATAATTGAAGAAAAATATGGTGACAAATCTATAAATAAACGGAACTCTAGAGTATTGTAAATTTGTAATATATGTATATATCCCACAAGTATCATATTTACAGGTATGATTTTGTGTGTATGGTAGTGATGTGCATATATGCAAAGAGGAAAAACACAGATGTACCCCAGGTGGTGTACCCCAAGTGTAACACCACCCTTCTCACAGAGACACACACACAGACATCCACTTTCTATGTTTCAGTCTGTGAAAAGGATGGTGTTACACTTGGGGTACACCACCTGGGGTACCCCTAGCTAACCTCATGCAAATATTAACAGAGCACATAATGTAGTGGTGGCTTGGAATAAGGAGACATAAATGAAATGAAGATGAAATGATGTGTGTGTGTGGGGTATTGCATAAACATATGGAAGAAGAAAGAAGTTAAGGCATGTGATCTGTGCACAAACAGCTATATGATGTGTTGAATTGGCCCCTGGGGTAGGGTATAGGACTATAGGGTAGGGTGTAGGGGGGGTTTATACCCCACAGAAGAATTATATTCAGTCAAAGTATTGGGAACCCCAACCCACCCTGCTGCCTTTCTTTCATCCATTTTAACTCTACTATATTTTCATGATCTGATCTGCCCATAACTTGTAACTGTAATGACATATAGATAGATCAGATGATGATGCTCCATCTAAAATCTTGAAGACTGGCCGGGAACTCTATGTTTGACACCACCTTTGACACTGTAGTGTCTCAAAGTGAGATGATTTCTGCGTAGACATTTATTGTTGTCTCAACTCGGTGTGTCTGTGAGATGCTATCACGTCAAAGGTGGTACGGTGTCAAACGTGAGATATATTGATTTTTGAACGACACAGATGAGTCTCGTCTTGTTTGCTTTCAAATTGCCTATGAGGTATAATTCCCTTCATGTGGAGTTGTAAACTTTACATAGACATATATTCTCCATTGTCATTTAGATGCCAACTCCCTAACTTTGTTGATTTAGAGAGAGCTCATGCTTTGTAATTTGCATTATAGCCTTTATTACGGGTCAAAATTTTCTACCTTTACGAATAGTTCTCTTTGTTTAGTCGGTTTTCAATGAAAGTACTATCTTAATGAGCATAAATCTTTAAGATAGTCCTACCTTAAAAACTAGCTATTCGAGTAGGATAATAGAAAATATTTATAGATAATAAAAAAGCAAAAAAAAAAAAAAAGAGAGAGAGAGAGAAAAGCTTTCCAATGTGGGATCGGACTCATTACAATATGCATGCATTCATTGGAGAAGGGAGTGTGGGAAATTATATATGCACTTATGTTTGTTCAAAAAAATATATATATGCACTTATGTGGGCTCCCCTTCACCTTACAAGTGATACCATTCTATTGCAAAATAAAAAAACAAGTTGGACATTTATTATTTTACCACAAAATTAAATTATTCAAAAATAAAAATTACTCCCTCGAAGTGAATTGCCTAAACAATATTCAAACTACTTATGTAAAATGTGCGCTAAATATTATTAAAATATATGTTTTTTATGTAATACCTAAAAAATTTATTTTTGAAATAGTACTTGAACAATGTCCAGTGATGGTGGACATTTAGTTTGCAAAATATTCAGTGGCGATGAACATTATTTGAACAATGTACGGTATACTATGAACAATGGGTACTACGATGGAAATTTAAAGCATGTGGTACTACATTGGGATACTATTTTAGTACTCCGTAGTATATAAGTAAATTCTTCACTACTTATTTCATGGTATAAAATAGTCATGTCACCTCTTCTTTTCAAAAATTTTTATACATAGTTTTTAATTATATAAATTTATTTTTGAATTAACACATATAATAAACAATTTTTTTTAGAAATTAAAAATAAAGTCGGTTATATCTTATAAACCGAAATGTGAAACTGAATTTGGGAGGAAGGGACTAAAAAATAAGATGAGACCTATACATATTGGGACAGAGAGTAATAATGATATGTCCTAATTAATTTTGTAGGAGAATAAAGGTGTAACCCATCTGAAACTCACCACATATCAGTTCAAGAGAGTAATTAGAATTAAATCATGACATAATTTCAATTCATATTTCAAAAACACGTGATAATTAAAATGCATTTAGATTTGACGCTCATAATTAGCACTAGAGTTTAAATACGTGTAATAAAAATGTTGAAAATAAAAGTTGCTTGCATAATTTTTTCAAAACTATAAAGCTGAATGCTGTTTTTTGAAGGAAAAAAATGCACACACTTTTTTATGGTCATTGAGTGACATGAAACCTAAGGTAGCCATTTATATACTTTTTCCTTCCTCAACCGTTTAGAATAAATTTCCCTATTTACCACATAGTTATTTTAAGAAACAGTAACATGTGATACATAATTTCTCATTGAAAATCTTAAATAGTTTTTAATCATACATTTTCACCATTTAACTTGTCATACACTGGCACTAAATTGTCTTTCGAATTAATTCATTCTTATTTATTCGAGTCTAATTTCTCTCCCGCCCTTTATTTTGCTGGATAACACTATTAGTTATTACTACTACCTTCTTTCTAGAAAAATCTTCTTATTTTAATTTTTTCGATAAAATAGTGACACTTTTTTATCACAAACTGAAAAAATATATTTAATTATGATGTAAATTTAATATAATTGGTTCTTTTTCTTCTCTCGGGGCCTAACTTAGATAGTTGAATGATGGGTGTCAAAGGAGGGAAACTTGAGTGCAATTCCTGGCAATGACGATAAAAAAGGACAATACTCTGCATGAAATTCTTGCACATGATCAGAGAGGGTCCCCACTTTCTAACAACTATGATGAGATTATAAATTCATTTTCTCCATCCTAAATTACTATCCAGGGCAATATCGAAGACCTTAGGGTTGGGATTAAACTTTTTCAACCATGCTACACTTACACAAAAAAGTATACCTCAAAATTACAGTAAAGGTATATACTAATATTTTGATGGTTCACATTGATGTAAAATGATGGTGCGTTAATAAAAATTTACACTAACATTTTGTGTCTATATGAACTATCACCCTAACATTAAACTGACACAAAATGAATGTGCACACTTGCAGTGTACAAATTGGGATACAAATCTCATTATTTACACTTCTATCCCATATATATATATATATATATATATACTCCCTCCGTTCCACAAAACCCTTCCGGTTTTGACTTTGGAGGAAAATAAGGAAAGTATAATTTTGGTTGATTTTCCAATTTTGCCCCTGATGTGATGAGAAAAAGTAAGATGTGATAGTTTGGTTATTAGTATAAAAGTATGATGTGATAGGTAGGGTATGAAAAAGTAGGGGTAAAAGTGGTTTTTTAATAGAAAGTGGAAGTGTTTTGTGAAAAACAAAAAAACAAATGAGGAAGGATTTTGTGGAACGGATGGAGTATATATATATATATATATATATATATATATATATATATATATATATATATATGATTCCACTTAAAATAATCACCCTCATTGATTCATGTCAAAAAAATAAAAGATCCCAGTTAAGATGGGAAATCCTACATTGTCTCCCTCTACTCTATTCTGCTCGGAAAGTGGAGGGTGGAACTTCAATGGTTACCAAAGAAATGGCTCCACATTGATTCCTGCAGAGGAGGAAGATCATGATGATGATGAGGGGTATATACGAGTTTTGCTTGACAGAGAAACCGCCATTAATGGGGGATTCCAAAAGCTTGAACTTTCGCAGGAGAAATGGATCCAAGAAGCTCGATCCAATGCAATACATTACATTATCAAAGTCTGTATATTCCTATCATCTTTCTTTCTCTTTTTCTTGATCTTTTTGAGTCCATTTGGAAGGAAATTTGACATTTTAGTCCTTTTTTTTGTTTCCCAGACTGGAGCGGTTTTTGGGTTCGGAATGCAAACGGTTTACCTGTCAATCACTTATCTTGATAGGTTCCTTTCAAGAAGAACCATAGTTGTGAGGATATTTCTGAATATTTTGTTATTTTTTAATCCTCTGTCCTGGAAAAAAAGCTTTTTTTTTCCTTTTTCATTATTCCTTAAAATAAAATTTTCATTTTTTGTCATAAACAAGAAAGACCAAGTGACATATACTCCCTCCGTCCTAAAACTTTCTTTCCAGAGCACTATTCCAATTTCACGGGAATTTATATTTATTTGTGTTTTTTCATGGCATATATGATAAAATAAAATATTCTTGTCACCACTTGTTTTGTTGAACTTTTGATGTAGTTTTTAAATATGTATATTTTATTTTTTATTTTTATACCAATATTTAAATAAAATTGATTGAAAAAACTTGGAATTTTTATTCGTTTTGCGCAATGGGAAGAAAGATATAGGACGGAGGGAGTAATATTTTTCTCTCCCCAAAACGAAATATATCCATGCATTTTTTTACTTTTTAACAACTTAATTAAAATGGGTGATGTCAAAGTTTCTTTTTGGTACAAACCAAGTAAATGCATACTCTCTCCATTCTTTTTTAATTGATCACTTTTCGCGTTAAATGTTAAATTTAGGCAACAATATTATTTAAAATATTTTGGTATACATTTTATGTTTTAATTCATTGTATATTTGTGTAGTCCAAAATATATTGTAAGTCAAACCATAAAAATACACATTTTAAAAATAACAGAGGAAGCATCCGGGTAGTATTTCTTTCCCTTGCAATAAAACTTCCTTACTTAACTTTCCCAAAGTTCAAGAAAAATCTTAAAAATTGAAAATTTCATCATTATAATTTGTTTGGATGAGAGAAAAAATTGTGCATCAAATACTTTTTTAAAAATTTTCTTTGTCTTTTTTTTAAATAAATAAATAAATGTATAGGGAGAAAAGTGGTGGGCAATGAAGGTAGTGGGGATAGCATGTGTTTCCATAGCAGCAAAAATGGAGGAAAGCAATAATAAGATTCCATCACTAACAGAGTACCCAATGGAGGAGCCTTTCATTTTTCAGAGCAGTTTGATCCAAAGAATGGAGCTTTTGGTTCTCAACACTTTGGACTGGAAATTGCACTTCACAACCCCTTTTGATTTCACTCCCTACTTTTTATCATATTTCACTCCAACCCCTTCCCACCCTAAGATCATTTGCTCAACAACAACAACTGTGGATATCATCATCTTCAATGCCCTCACAGGTAATTATTATTATTCTATTTCCAACTATATATATATATATATATATATATATATATATATATATATATATATATATATATATATATAGTTGGAAATAGAATAATAATAATTACCTGTGAGGGCATTGAAGATGATGATATCCACAGTTGTTGTTGTTGAGCAAATGATCTTAGGGTNCAGTCAGAAATGGTAGTCTTCTAGGGTGATTACTGTATAGTTGGGGAGATGCATGATTCATTCATGTCCCCTATTATGAGGCTAATTAATTTGTATCTGGGAAAAAGGTTGACTTTATTTTTTCTAAAAAAGATTAAAGTCTCTGATCTAAAACTTTCAGCAAAGCAATAATGATGAGTTTGTGGCCCAAAGTTTGAGCTTTAATGGATTTCTCATCAGATTTCATATAAAGAGTTTGTTAAACCACTTTTTACACTAGAAAAAGGTGCAAATTTAAAAGAGATAATGTCAGGAGGAGTTTGATTCTTATTAACGACCATGAAAATGTATCACGTGTAACATGAAATTCTTGCACGTATAAACAGTGAATAATAATTTAACTCTGTATATTTGTTACGAAGTAGTAACATATATTATGATTATCGTTTAGTAATATATCTCCTTGATCGAGATTGTCTTTTTTAAAAACAAATTTTGGATGGGGCCAGATGCAAAGTTAATGAGGCATAGGGCACCTGTACTAGCAGCAGCTGCAACCTTACTGGCACTGGATGGACTACTAGTCAAAGAGGATCTGGAGGTTAAGATCAATGCCTTACCTTCAGGTGGATGTCTTAACATTGTGAGTATTATTCTTAATTATTATTATCATTATTAGGGAATGTATATATTATTATTATTAGTATTATTATTATTATTACTAATGAATTTTGCAGGATGATGTTTTGTGGTGCTATAAACAAATGAAGGGATTAGAAATGGAGAAAAAAGAGCTTCCAAAGAGTTTGGGTCTTGTTGGCTCAAAGAGGAAGAGGACTCATGTTATAGAATTGTGACCATTTTTTTAAAGTGTCCAGATGTCTGAGTCCAAAGCTTAGTAGTCATTCTTCATTTATTATGTCAACTTTTTTTTTTTTGCTTTGATTTTTAAATATTTATTTTTATTACTTATTTATTTATAACTTATTTTGTTTTGGTGTTTAAATGTAATCTCTTGCAATCCCATGTTTTAAAAGGGTGGGCTTGGGATGCTTTGTTTTGCTTTAGAGTTGGCGCTTGTAATGTGTGAACTTGTGTGGGCTTGAATTTGTTCATTCTACTTGTGATTTATTTATTTGATTACATTTGTTGGAAGTAAACCTTTCTAGTATTTTGTTGATTTACACTTAAGTACACAATATGTTGCCATAAGGGTACAAAAAATGTGTGCTCTCTACGTAAAATGGAAACATACTTTAAGATTTTAATGACTATGGGTGTGGCTAAAACATGGCAAAAGACTTCCACTTATTACAAAAATCAGCTATATTTAGTTCTTCAAAAAAAATCAATATCAAGAAATCTGCATGACTGCAAAATAATCATAATAATTACCTTATCAAACTAATAAGATGTCCCATTAGCACTGCAAGGGCTTCAATCAAAGACATGCTACTCTTTAATGGTTATGATATCAAACAAGTGTATTATCTTCAGAAAATGGTTGATCAGTCATACAGGGATCATCTTCACCGCAGCAGCAACAGGCATGCCTAGGAATCCGAGGGCAACCGTTGCCAGCCATTGTTGCATGGTAAGAGGAGTAGTGTTTGCAAAGGTTCCCAAGAACTCAACGATAATGACTTGGAAGAGGACTGTGCAGCTGATTACACCAACAAATACGTAGTTGTTTAGTATGCCCTTCAAGACATTGACCTTTTCCATATCCCTCGAGCTGATCTCATTGAAAATCTGTCACAAATATTGCATTAGTCATTATAAGACAGTTATGTAATGATCCATTCATGCCGGAAAAAGAAAGAGTTCTGTTTGTAATACTATTATTTCGGCATTACAAACAAAAATCTTTTTCTATGGGAGGACGTTATATCATGTTAGAAATCAAGAGCATAAGCTAATGCTACAATGGGGACAAAAAATTTAAAAAATAATTAGTGAATTGAGAACTATTTCTTGAACCATACCAAACCTGGTTGATTAATTAATATTAGTTTCATCCCGAAAATTATATTCATACATACAGTAGAGGGAGTAAAACATTATAAGTACCTGGAAAAAGACGAATGTGTTGAATATGAGTGTGTTGAGAGCCAAATCAGAACCGTGGCCATCAAGACGAAAGATTGCTTTTCCAAAACCTTGAAGATACCATATGATAATGAACTGATATAAAGACTGCCCAAAAATATTCCTCCACATTACACTGCTGATGAACTTCCCTTTTCTTCCAACGGGTTGGGATTTCATCAAGTCATCTGTGGGAGGTTCAGTAGCCAGAGCAAGTGCACCAAGTGTGTCCATGATCATGTTCACCCACAGAAGCTGAACAGCAGTGAGGGGAGTGATCCCTGAAAGTGCCACAACAAACAATATCAGCAAACCCATATGTTACTAACCTTGATTAGAATCCTTTCAACCAAATTTGTGTTACCTGTCAAACAGGCTGAATAAAAGTTGACAATTAGGGCAACCACGTTAACTGTCAGCTGAAACTGGACAAATTTTTGGATATTCACATACACAGAGCGTCCCCATTTGGCAACGGTTACAATTGTTGAGAAGTTATCATCTAGGATTATGACATCAGCACTCTCTTTAGCCACCTGTAAGTATATGGTTAGTAAATGATATGCATAAATTAAAAACTGGATGTATTTTTCTAAACCTGGCGTTTTTTCATGATAACCCTAAGAGTCTACTCTGATGGAGGGTTTTAGACTTTTGAAGGAAGATGCTTTTGAGGGCTTAGTATATATCTTGAAAAATTCGGTAGATGTTTCCCAAAATCAAATGAAGGATGAATGAAATGATATATGATTGATAGTATGTTATTTCTTCCATGTTCAAACAAGGTATTATGGCAATTTTAGTTAAACCAACTAATAGATTTTAAAATCGTAGGTATAATTGATGGTCTTCAATAGTTGTACCTTACTCAACAACAACAAACTTAATTTAATCCCAACTCCGTTGTGGTTTGGGGGTCAAGATGTTCCATGGAGAAACACGACACTTTTTAAGGGATGGGTGGAGTATATCATATCGAGCAGGATCTAAGTCTACCTCAGTTCCAGCAATGCCCATAGCAAGTCCAATATCTGCTTCATGAAGTGCAGGAGCATCATTTGTACCATCTCCAGTCACTGCCACCACTTCTTGAAATGTAGTCCGCAGATGTTTCACTAGTGTGTGCTTATCCATTGGCGAAGAGCGAGCCATGACCTGCAGAAGCTGATATATTAGGCTTCATAGAGCAACATTGTTTATCCTTGTATAGGGAAATACTGTTTTTAATGTTTGGTTCTACCTTGGAAAATACATATATTTTGACTTCTTAGTCATTATGTACTAGAAGTGGAAATATATGAAAAATATGCACTTGAACAAATATCCGAAATTGATTTTTTTATTTTTAACAAATTTTCTATTTCCCCCTGGCATTTCTCTCCTTCCCTATTTTCCCTCTATTTCTTTCCCTAAAATTTATATGTTCCAAACGGATCCCAAGTATAAAGCTGCCTGCACTCACCTGTAATTTTGGAATAGTTTCAAGCAGTTCCTCTTCACTCATTTCTCGGAATTTCTGACCTTCAATTGCAAGTCCATTATCAGTCAAGATTCCACATTCTCTAGCGATTGCTATGGCAGTGTTTATATTATCTCCTGTGACCATCCTCAAAGTGATCCCAGCTGACCTGCAAATAGCAACAGATTCCTTGACTCCAGGACGCACAGGATCTTTAATCCCCACAATTCCTATCAAGGTTAACTTCTCAAAGGGAATAGGGTTATTAATGGAGAAGTCACTTCCTATGTCCTTATAAGCAAGGCAAATTGTTCGAAGAGCTTCACATGCAAATTTATCGATTGAGTTCTTCAGACTTGCAATTGAAGCTTCATCTAAATAAATAACCTCACCATTTGGTCCTAAGGCACTATTGCATTCTGCCAATATTATCTCGGACGCCCCTTTACAGTGTGCACGTAAGCCTCCGTTTGGCGATTTTAAGACTACACCCATTCGTTTCTTGTCAGAATTAAACGGTTCAACTTTTAGGATTTCTGTGGATCTGCGCACTGAGTGGAAATCCCCTCCAAGCAAACGTCCGAATTCCAACAGAGCAGTTTCAGTGGGTGTCCCCAAGATTTCAGTTTTCCCATCTTTATTTTTAACTATTTCACCTCCAGTGTTGTTGAATATCGCTTCAAGTAGAATTTTAATTGCACTATCAGGAATCCCAGAACCAAATGTGGGAACATCGATATGATTATCTTTGATCTTCCCACAAATGCGAGCTCTTACAACAGTCATATGATTAGTGGTTAATGTCCCGGTCTTGTCACTACATACAGTGGTGGCAGATCCCATTGTCTCACACGCTGCCAAGTGGCGGACAAGTGCTTTATCATTCATCATCTTCTTCATAGCAAATGCAAGACTCAGGGTTACAGCCAATGGAAGCCCTTCAGGAACAGCTACAACGACAATAGTGACAGCAATAGCAAAATATTCCAGCATTACCAGCGCATCATCTCCAGACCAGCTCCAGTGGGAGCCTTCTCTCAGTTTCTTCAGATATAAACCTTGCACCAATACAGAGAATGTAATAACAGCAAAGAGGAGACCAACCTTGCCAATTATAGTTGCCACTCCATTCAGTTTAACCTGCAATGGAGTCTCATCGTCACCTCCTTCTCTGAGAGTAGCCATCAACTTGCCCCATTGAGTTCTCATCCCAACAGTAGTGACAAGCATTTTGCAAGATCCATCCCGGACTTTAGTTCCAGAAAGGAGAAAAGGTTTTCCAGCTGTCACATTAACTGGCTCACTCTCTCCTGTTAAGCTGGATACATCAATTAACAAGGAAAATCCTGATACAAAGAGTCCATCAGCCGGAACTTGGTCCCCAACGGCAAGATGAACAATATCGCCAGGAAGTAAATCGTAAATTGATTTTTTTTGCCTAAGGCCATCTCTAGTAACCTGAACTGTAATCTTCTTTTTCTCTTTATCTAAATCCTTAAACTGTAAAGACTGTTTGTAATCACTTATGGCAGTCACGAATACCACGAGTAGGATACTAGCTACAATCCCAAGTCCATCATGAGCACCCATCGGCCATCCTTCTGTCAATATACCAACAACTAAAGACACAAAAGCGCACACACCAAGTATCATCAGAGTAGTATCCTGGAGGGCTTCCCATACATATACCCAAAATCCCCTGGCAGGGCTTTCAGTAAACTTATTAATTCCAAATATTTCTTTTCTTTTGTTAATGGAATCATCCGAAGTAGAAATCCCATTTTCAATTGATGTTGAGAGCTTGTTCACAATGCCCTCAACCCCACCATGAAATTTCAGTTTACTCAAACTATGACCCTCGGCAATAGAACCTAGTTCGTCAGGACATATCTGGAAACCTGCAACTTGGACATCCTCTGGCAAAGAGTAACTTGCACCTGCAAGTAAATCAAGGAATGCCAACCTAAGGACACTACAGCACTGAGAACTTCAAATTCCAAAATGGAGCAGGCAAATCATACCTTGAGTGAAGGTAATAGCAGCCTTTGAAACCAGGACAGCAATTCTCAGTTTCTCCTATAATAGCAGATGACAATTAGGTATATGTTTCGGAAACCGTCAAGCATAACCAAGAGGCTGACATGGGCAGCTAACTAGTCTACAGACTAACAAGGACTCACTGCATTCAAAGCTGATCTTAACTTCATTAACGACCATAACGGAATTTCCTTGTACAGAACAAAATCTAGCCAATGAGGAACAGAAATCCAGCGAGTGTAATAGTTTATGTTCCATAAACAACAACATATAACACGAAAGGGAAAAGGCCGGTCCTAGAGAAATTTGAGTAGATAATTTGAGTAGCTGAGAGGTAGGGAGTGAAACCTGATTAGAGCGCCGAAGAGCACGAGCTTCAAATCGCTTGGAGAGATTGGCCGTGAATCGAAACCTGCGCTTGCGATTCTTAACGAGCCAGCAAACCTTTCTCCATCTCTCCAGAGCCTCCACCGATGAGTTATTGGCATTCACCTCCCCAAAATTCTCCTTAATATACTCCTCCATACAGATCTGCTACAATTGCAGATCGGCAGTCCCTGTGATTGTTGTGATTGCAGAAAGTTTTGAGCACAGAAGCTTTCCTTTCATGGAGTGGCCTACACCACTAACTGCTTCTCGGAGAAAAGCAGTTGACGAATATATGCGTAGAAAATTAACTTTTCTTCTTAGTGCAATCTTCAACATGAAGATATGATATTCCTTTCCTGTTCCAGTTATTGGCATTTTGCGACAGATACGATTCATGAATGGCATCCGAGTGTGTTTGACTGGTTTTTTTTTTTATTCCCGTCGCGTGGGTGAAATCTACGCCAATGGAATCAAAGAGATTCTCGCACGTTTTACCTTCATCCGTTCATGTTTCTCCCCCATATAGGGTTCTCTGTTTAGGAATCTAACTCGGCGGCACTCGGCGGCGGAACAAGAATCCGAGACTAGTGCCGGAAGCGTTCCCCATTTTTCTTTTTCTTTTTCTTTTTTGAAGCAGAAAAAAAAGTGAAATTAAAAGAAATATTTACACTAAATAATAGTACTAAAACTTAAATCATTTCCTTAAATATTAATTCAACTGTTTTATTTCTAAATAGCATTTAATAATATCTAGAAATAGAAATAATGATCAGTGATGGTGAACATTCACTTGAATAATGATTAATGAATAATAACTAAAAGTGCAAAATTAGAAAAAAAAACATAAATGATACTATTTAGGAAAGTCATTATGTTTTAGTGTTATTTAAATAAATTCCTCAATTACAAAACAAAACACGGAGTAAATTTCAACCCACCGCAGCATTCAGAAATATTGAGAAATCTCCAAAATATTGAATTCTACTTTGTAATATTGTAAAAGAAGAAATAACTAAAATAAGATTAAAATATACTCCCTCTGTCCCATTTTAAATTGTCTGTTTGCCTTTTTTCTCCGTCCTTAAATAAGTTGTCTGTTACTTGTTTTTGTAAATTTTTAAAAGTAAAATACCTAAACTACCCCTAAAATTAGTCACTCTTCACCACCTTATCTTCTTATTCATCGTCAACCCTTCTAGAAAATAATAGCAATTTCGAAAAATCAATTATATTTTTTCTTTTCCTTAAATATGCCCAAAAGTCAAAACGGGCGATTTAAAACGGGATGGAGGGAGTAAGATAAAATCAAAATATGGCCTTCGTATTTTTATATATTTGAAATAGAACTTACAATGTCAATAATAACAATATATAATATTAAAAAATATGATGAAATGTCAATATATACATTACCATAATTCAATATCCCATTCTAAAGAAAAAAAATGTCATTCTTAATTTGAAAATAAAATCTACGGAGTATAATTTATTTCAATTTAGCGTGATTTTTTATATAATACAAATTATTTTTAAAAATTTCATTTTTAATTTCTTTTATTTTAACGATAAATAGTTTATTTTCCGCTTAGAAACTATTTTTATTGGGACCTTTTTGTTTTTTAAAAACTCGAATACTATTAAAAAACTAAAATCGTTGCGGCAAATGCCTCCATTACCATTAGTATAGCTCCGCCATTGACCTAACTATTGGATTTGTAAAAAAAATACGGAGTAAATAATTTTTTAATGATGATAATTTTAATTTTGATGTGTGATTCTTATTCGGAAACAACAATTTGTATTTGTAAGGATGATAAGAATCTTTAATACTACGGAGTAGTACAATACGGAGTACTATGGGTATTTATTAGTATTCGAAAGCAAAACAAATACACATACAAATATGTATGTATTTGATTCGGTACTTTGACAAATATATTCAAGTTCAGCTACACAAGTTGATACATAAATACAATGTATATTATAATTGAATTTCCTTTATATACGTTTACATCACATATTGTTATTTTTCTCATTTTAAAAATTATGTTATTGCAAGAGTACTCTTTAAAAGTCTCTAAAGGTAATGAGATGACTCATCTTATTTCTCAATATACTATAGAATCTACTCCCTCGGTCCTCTTTAAAACTTTTCATTTCAAAATATTTTATATAATAAAATTATTTTTGTAGCAATCATTTTATTTAATGTAAAATCAAAATTTACCAATTTTAACAAAAAAAGTAAAAAAATAATTAAATACTCAACGACGGAGGAAGTATTTAGTTTTATTTTATTTGTAATGGAATTAAATAGTACTAAAAAGTTATAAGTACTTGTAATATTTGTTTTAATAATTATATCCTATTTTTAGGATAAAAATACCAAATCTTATTTAAGGAATTGGATTATTCCTTGAACCCCATAAAAGATATCTCTTTTTTATATCTGGTTCCAAATGAGTTCATAATGATTGATTCGTTTTTTCTGTTTTAGGCAAAAATGTGATTCAAAATGCTATTTTTTTAAATAAATTATAATCAATCATATTTAATTATTCAATACTCATCTATGTACTTGAGGTTGAGATTATAAAATTGAACAAATGACTTAGGTGACTTACAAATGTGTAATATTCTATACTCCGTAATTAATTGTTTTACGTGACTTACAATGTCTTTACATGACTACATCAATCTCAATATTATAATTTTTATTTTAGACATATTCTTTTATGATCTTTAGATCCATATTTATTTTTTCAACTTGTATATAGTTATATGCATTAGGTCTTTCAATAAGAAAGACGACAACTAAGAATAAGTAAATACCAAACCGATCCTGAAATTTTTTTAAAAAACCAAATATACCAAACCGAGAAATATTGAACCAAAAATTACTTGATAGTGTGAACTATGTTTTTAATCCATTGAATGTTATATTGTTCATAAGTTCACTTCATGTGAGCTTTGGCAACGAAACATAAAATTATTACTGAAGAAGAATGAACAATAGAAGAACCTTCAAACCCAGTAAAAAAGAAGCAATTGTCTTCAGTCAGTCACTCCAATTATCTTCATCAACACCCAATTTCATCTTTACCTCCTGCATTACAACCCCACCAGAGAGCACAGTTAAGAAGATTCTGATTAGTTTTTTTTTGAAACCCAAATTCTGCGATCGATGCATATATATTCAGAAGATTAAGTTTTTATATATAGATAAAAGTGTTGGTTTCCAATTCATACTGATTCTTCTTCAATCGCCGTTTTGGTTGGCGACCACACCAGGATTTGCCTGTCATTACTTCCTGTGTATAGTTCCTGCAATGAAGGTAAATAAGTTTCACCGGTTATACTTGCAGAAAACCTCAGCTAGACAACCCTAACAACAATTTACATTTTTGTTGTACCTGGTCCTGATGATTGTACCAACAACAATTTACATTCTCATAATGCCCACAAAAATTCATCATTGCCTTTCCCGACCATAGATCAAAGGCCTACAAGATATTAACCAATAAACTATACTCTGCATATACTTTTACTAAACTAAATACTCTGCAAGAATTATGGAGTAGATCTTTAAGAAAAAGGTTGGTTTTTTTTAAAAAATGAACTTGAAGCCTTATTTAAAGAATTACGGAGTAAAAATTAGCAGTGAAGAGTTGCAGAGACCCTCACTTTAGTGGTCATCATGCATGGAACGAAGGCGACAGAAGAATCACCGGATATGGCAACTTGTAGAGCCTTGGTAGTTTGAAGGCGTGCAGTTTCATAGTTCACTAATGTATTACAACCAGATCCTATATCCCATAACCTTAGCCTTGAATCAGAACCTGGAGTCATAAAAAATACAGAGTATAACTTAAAGGTCTATTCAGAATCCAAAAATTCTAGGGGATGAGATTAGACGGAAAAGTTCGGAAAAAGGTGAGGAGAGGGGGGGGGGTAGGGGGGTAGTGCTCAATAAATCAATTTTAGATATTTTATTTATTTTTCTGTTATATAGACTCAGATCTACACATACATCGAACATTAAGTTTTTAAAATCATTTTTTCCTCAATTCTTTTTTAAGTAAAAACAAATGTTTTCTAAAAAACTACTCGTACATATTTTCCTTACCATTTCCCCACATTTGCCACCATTTCCACATTCCAAACATAGCCAAAACATATAGGTCACGACACAATCCACACTAATTTCATTAAGTATTTGATGAAGAAAAAACAAAATATGTGCTCTGTATCATTAAAAAAATTAGAAAGACTACCTGCACTTAAGAGGTACATGCCATCATTAGTCACTTTCAAACTACTTACAACACCATAGTGAGCAGTGGCACGATCTTGAGTGGTTAACATCCCTGGATGTGATCTCTGCTTCAACGACCCCCTACTAACTTGCCTATCAATAAAAGACTGCCTGTGGTTGTTACCAATTAATGATTTCCGTTGAGATGGACGAGCCTTTATAGATGAAGTATGAACTGCTGATGGAGATTTAGAAGTTGAACTCTGCTAAGAAGACCGATAAACATATGAAAAAGAAAGACACAATAAAAAGGAAATGAAAGTTAATAGGGTGTCTAGACTATGAAAGAAAAAAATACGTTGACAATGAGTAGAGCTAAAAGTTCTTCTGAAGCAAATTAATCTCAAAGGAATACCTTATTTTGAGCAGAACGTGCAAGTAGAGGAGGGCGTCTCCCAAGCTGACAATGGGACTGATCTAAAACACGAAAGCATCCAGCTCGCCTGATGTCCCAAAAACGAATTGCACCGTCACACCCCCCAGTTATCAGAACCCACTCGCTTGAAGCTGACCATTCAGCTGACATCACCCCATCTGCCATCAGAAATTTAACTAAATGTCATTTAAACTATCCACTATTATGCCTTCTGCCTACTGTTGAACTAAAAATAAAACCCAGTTCAATTAGAACAGGTCAAGATATATGTTCCCTGCGTGATGTTCTAAACTTATATCTGACGATAGATTGATCACTTTATACCCAATGGCCTAGTGAAAATGCAACAACATGCAAATACAGAGTGTGGAAAAGGAAATAAAAACAAATAAACCCCCACATGGAGAAAGAGGATTGATCTCAATGGCCATATTTCTATAAAGCCCCATTATACATATGCAACAGCCATATGCATGATTTAATACTCCTGTTACATAAAATGGTTTCACATTTCCTTTTTTGTGTGTCCCAAAATAAGGCTCCACTTTCTTATTGAAGAAATAAAAAATTAAGCTCATGTCATTTCTTTCTCCCCTGCATCAACTTCAACCACACAATTTTACCTTTCTCGATAACCAAGTCACTTCCATAGTGGAACCTTTTGTGGGACGGAGGAAGTATTAAAAAAAATTGCACAAATCGCAGCATATACCGTGATGTCCAGATAAAGTGTGAGCAAAGGCGCCTGAAGCTATATCACAAAGCCGGACTTGTACATCTTCAGTTGCAGCAGCAATTAACATATGAGATGTTGCCACAGAAGACATGGCACACTTATAAACCTTTCCAGGCATTTTAAAATTGACAGCCACCTGATAAAGAATTATAATAATAAGGGATTTTAAATAAACTATCGGGATGGTAAAAATTGAATGAGATTGAGTAATTGCTAACCCAGGCTACCTGTGTAGTGTTTGTGTCCCATACATTGATGCGATGATCATATGAACCCGTGATAAACAGTCCAGTGTCAACTGGGTACCAGATGGATGTAGAAACGGCATATTTGTGACCCTGTTGATGCCGTTTGTCAACAACAAAAAGGGGCTTATGCTTACATATCAATCCACCTCCCTCGCGACCTGTTGCACGTTGGACATCATAAACAGCAACTGATGCATCCGAAGCACAGGATAGTAAATACCTTTGCTCTGTCAAATCAACCTGATTTTGTGGTCAAAAGGGAATGGCCACAAAATGCAAGTTTCACCCCACATAGTTTTTTAACAATCCATTCTATCAAAAAAAGGGAAATGAGAACATAATAGATATATCCAAATTAGAGCCCTAGTCTCAGCTTCTAGTTGTAAACTTCCATGCTTGTCTTATAAATATTCTTACTTCAAAGAAGGAGAATATACCTAAATAGTAGTAAAACATAGTGACTTTCCCAATGTAGTATCATATGCTTTTATTTCCCAATATAGTATTGTTCGCTAGTCATTGTTCAAGTAAATGAACACCGCCAGGGCATTGTTCAAACTAATTGTTGATCATCAGTGGACATTGATCAGTGGACATTGTTCCCGTCACTAGACATTATTCAAGTACTATTTAAGGAATAAAAAAGTTTAGGTACAACATTGGGAAATGACATATGTTTTAATACTATTTAGTGCAAATTTCACTTCAAAGAAGTGTAAGAGGGTGTTTGTATCATTGTAGGTGCTTAAATTTTTTCAAAAGTGATAATCTTGACAAAAGAATCCAATGCTTCTTTTTCAGTCTCTGAAAAATTCTAAAAATCAAACACTCCCAAACACTCCAAACTGATTCTATCCAGAGCAAAAGCCAAAAGCTCAGAACTATTTCCAAAATCAATCCCAAAAACACCCTCTTAAGTGCAACTGCAAATAAATTTAGTTCAAATTCATGGATAGTAGTAAAAATTCACTGATGAATTAGGTTTAGTTAGTTGAAGCGAACCTGAAGAGAGTTGACGGAGGCGCGGTGAGGGGAGACGATCTCTTTGTGATTGGAGAGTTGAAGAGATGCGAGTCGGCTCAACTCAACTCGGTTACGGTACAAATTAGGGCGAAGTCTCCCTGATTCTCTATCCCTGATTTCCTTCCACATCTTCTTCCTCGCATCCTTCCCGTTTTCCACCTACTGTTTAGATCATCCGCCGCAATAGACCACCCGGATTCGAATCCCTCCTCTCTGTAAATCGGTAATAATTAGATTGCACGCACAAAACCAAAACAGACGATGAATCGAAACACCATGTCATGTACGTACTAATCAATTTAGGGAAGGCCTTTGAGATTCAAATCGCGAAAGCCCAAATCTTAGCTCTCTCCTGCTTAGCCGCCGTCCTTTGAAGTTTGAACAAGTCTTGTTGGTAGAATAGCAACTGTTCCCATTTTTTTAGTACCTCCCTACTGTTTTAAGTGGCTTCTTTTGACTTTTAAGCATATTTAAGGAAGAAAAAAATAGAGTTTATTTTTTGAAATTGTCATTACTTTTTAAAAGGGGTAACGATGAATGAGAAAGATGAGGTGGAAAAGAGTAACTTATTTTAGGAGTAGTTTAGGTATTTTACTCTTAAACATTTACGATAACAAGTAATGGCAACTTATTTTGAGACGAAAAAAAGGCAAACCGGCAATTTAAAATGAGACAGAGGAAGTAATATTTATATTGATATGCTACTAGCTCATTTTGATTACAATATTTCTTTTTCACAAACGTTAATGTTATGTCAAATCAAATAGATTTTTTCTCAAAATATCTCTTATCAAAAAATAACTTATTTCTACTTTTTGTAGTCATGGGGGGTGGGGATATGAAAAGTTGAAAATATTTTGTCTTGAAAGTGTCTAAATGTTATCAAAATGTAATATTGTAATGAGAAAAAATTACTTTGGCATATGAGGGTAAAAAATTCAACTAGACATTGCCCTTGTTTAGAAAATAACATTTTGGATGACTTTTGTCATCTTTGATTGATTTTAGTTTTTGACTAATCAAATAGCCAAAACCATTAATTGGCTAATGACTTTTTCACTTGGATGTTTGATCCGAAAAGCCAAAATCTGAAAATCAAGGAGGGTAGCTTTTGGACTTGACTGTTACGAAAATTAATTTTTTTATCATAAAAGTTAAAAAAAATAAAAAAATAAAATTGAAAAGTAAGAAAACGAAATAATCAAAATGAGAAAATCATTTAAAAGCATTATACACACACACACACACACATATGGCACACACATTATTTTTAAATCTTAAAACAACTATTTTCAAACAGCTAATTTTAGCAAACATTTTTAACAATCAGCTAACACATGCAGCCGGTCAAACCAGCTAAACTAAACAGTTATTAAGAACAGCTGACACAAACAGCCAACATCCAAACAAAGCCACTGGGAGTGTTTGAATTTATATATATACTACGTATTTATATATATACTATGTATTCTAATTTTAATTTATAAGGAGTTTTTTTAAGACAAAAACCAATATTGATATGGAGTATTAGTTACTCTTATAATTAAAATAATGATGTATTCGTTCGCCCATATATACAAAGTATATACTCTGTATATGATTATTTTTTATGGTTATGTAAAAAATCGTGTTTTCCTATCCCAATATAAAACATATAATTTCTCACATCTTGATTCGGGTAAGAAATAGGTGATTCTAAGTAGTTCTGGATATCATTTGCAGCATTATCAAGGCATGAACAAATCTGCTGATTATCAAGACACGAACAAATCTCCAAGATTGTAAAAAAACATATACAAATACCCATAACGTGGGAGCCTTTTTATACAATTGAAGCTACCAAAAAGTAGTCCGTATATGTTGCACTTGTGTAATCCAAAAAGAAAAGAAATTTTACACACATATATGACATCTTTTTTTCACTTCAACCTTTTCATTTACAAGCAATTTTTTTTCAGAAAAAATCACCAACCAAATTAGCAAATTCAACCAAAAGCCGAAGACGGTAGTTTACTGGAAGAGTTCATCCTGCATGGAGAAGAAGAAAAATTAGAATGTAGTTTTAGCTTTTGGATTGATCGGTATACTAGGATCGGCTCAGTTATGTATAATGTGACAGGGGTACCGAGTTAACTAAGATCATCGAAGCCCAGTGATTGGTACAGGGATGAAGTCCACAAGAAATGGGTCGAGTTAACTAGACCCGAAAATGATGTTCAAGTTTGCCGAAAGATATAGAGGCAATCCCATAATCTCCCACACGGCAAACATGGTCAAATCATATCGTTGGCATAACGTTGGACGCACCACTATGCTCAAACCAGGAGGATGTGGTGCATTCCCTCAATTTTTCAAGAATTCAGAGATCACGAGGTTCCCATACTTGTTGAATCCAAATCAAACTAGGACTAACACTATATTCGGTTCAAAGAATTTGGAAGGAAAAGAAAAGAAAATGACTTTTCTCTCATTCTCCATTTTGTCTTATCATTTTTTTCCATCGACTCCACTTTTCTTTTCCTCTCTAACCAAACACAATGTAAGAGAAGTGAATGGTTGACATATCACAATGCAATACTAAAAAAATCTGATTTTGAATTAGACTTATTAATAGTAAAATGTAGTGATCACATTATTGTTGATCTTCCCACAATCCCACACCTTCAAGAGAATCTTTGGTTTTTTCCCAAATCCCAAAAACCACAACTTTTCCAGCTTGGTTTCATATCAGTTGAGTTTTCCATTGTTGGATTAATCAAATTTAACCACTCCACATGTACAAGGTAGCTTATATATGCAGCACTTAAATTACCATGTACTCCAGCAGAAGCTAGCATGAGAAAGCATCACCCCATTTGCCACTGATGAACACAGGCAAAACAAAAGCCGGCATACGAAAAACACTTTAGACCATGGTAAAAAGGAAGATTTTGGGATCAAAAGAAAAGAAAATCAAAATCAAAAAGAGAAGAATTGAATTGGGATCTATGAAATTAAAGATGAATTTCAAAAGAGGCACTACCTTGAGAGCTGGTTCTCCCCTGTTAGTATTTGCAGACTTCTTGGCGATCGCTTCCATCTGAGCTCTTGCAGCTTTTCCTGCCGGAGTATTTGCAAATTCCTCTTGTCTGCATAAAACACAGATGAATTCAAATTTCATAGAAATGAAAAGATGAGTCTTTTTTTTTTCTTTTTTTTTTTTGCGAAGACAAAGGGGGGAGATAGGGTTGACGATGAAGAGATGGAGAAAAAGCCTTTTCTGGGCAGCTTCTGCGGCTCTCGAACGAGCTGAATCAGCTAATTTATCTGTATCTTCCGATGCGGCTTTAAGGGGATGAAGTTTATCTGAAACCGATGGTCCCTTTTCTTTCCTCTTGATTATTCCTCCCTTGAAACAACCGAAGCAAGTCAAGCAACCCATTTTGGCAGAATTTCCAGATTGTAGTGAAGTTTGGAGGCCAAATAGCACGACTACCACCATAGAAAAATGACTTCAATCCTATTTATCTTCAAAATTCATTTCTAAAGCTCCGTGTAATTTTAAAACATTGTACTCATATATCTGATCAGTAATGCCCATTTTCTAAATCATAGGGGCACTGGTACTTATTTTTTATTTTTCGTTTATTTTTTGTTTTTCCCTCTTTTTTTCTTTATTTGTTTCTTTTATTAATCAAGGATTTTTTTCATTCTTTTTAAACTTATTTTTATAGAGTTCTTAAAATTTGAAATTATTTTTGTTTGAAAAAAAAATTATTAACGTATATTACATCTGTATGTCTTAAATCAACAATTCTTTGTTTTTTGTTTTCTGAAATAAAAAAGTAAAAACTTTTTTCAGAATCTTAAAAAATGAGGAATAAAATAAAAAGTAAAATAAAACAAAAAATAAATATTCTTTTTGGACATCCCAATTCTAAGGACTTTTTTAGGTGTTTTGAAAATTTCTTTTTGTATAAAACTCTATTTGCATGTTTCAATTTTCATTTTGTTTACCCATATCTTTATTTTTGTTTTTTATTCTAGATTTTCTTTTTGGACATACCAAAAAAATATTCTAGAAAACAAAAAGTAAAAATATTTTATTTTAGATATATGGAGTATATGTTATTTTTTATTTTTATTTCAAACACCAAGAGTTTTAAATTTTAAAAACATTATAAAAATTTGAAAAGAAAAAAATCAAATAGTAAACAAAAAATAATAAATGAATACCCCCTTCACCGGAATATAAATAATAGTTGAAAAAAGAAAAAAATTAAATGATAAATGAAAAATAAGAAATGATCACGAGTCGTTCTATAGTTTAGAAATTAGACACTAATACCCCCTTCACGTAAAAATCGTGAGAGGGGGTGTAAGTGCAACATTTTGAAATCATGAAACTTGTTACTCGTAATGAAAAGATGTGTAAGAGGCGGAGTGAGTATATTGATATAATAAAATAATTTTTATTTTTTTTATTTTTTCCAAAAAAAATTTGTAGTATTGTCTCAGAGGAAGATTTTGTAGTATCCAATTTTTTTTAAAAATGAACGGATAAGTTATGTTGAAATTTAGCTGCTTTATCCGAGCATCACTAATGAAGATGAATGAAGGGGGAAATAAGATGACGGAAGGATTTACTTAAATAACACTAAAACATAATGACTTTTCTTAAATCGTACGAAATATTATATATATATTTTCTCCAATGTAGTACTTTTAGTCATTATCTATTAGTCATTATTCAAGTAAATAATCGTCATCACTGGATATTATTAAATGTTATTTATAAAATAAAACAATTTAAGTGCTCTTTAAAAGAAAAAAATGACTTAAATTTTAGTAAGGTAAATATAATCGGGAGTGGTAATCTGGTAAAATTCACGGCTGCGAGTCTAGTAACGAGGAAGATGAACAACGGGAAGGAGTTGGACTCTCTCCGGCCAACGGAAACCGTGGAGCTCGAGAGCGGATTGTCACTGGTCCCGCGCGTCAAACTCGTACTGACAGTCTCCCGCGCCGACAAGTTCGTATCCCCACTAGACGAGTGGAAGCTGAAGCGGTCGCTGATTGATTACCTGAAGAACAAGCATTCCGCGACCGTCGAAGAGGACGACCTCCAAATCCGGAGATTCAAGGACCTCAGCAAGCGCAAGCGCGACGAGCCGGTAGCTCACGGCAGCCTCTGTATTCGGGACCTAGGGTTTCTGGAGAAGCTCTTGAGCTCGAAAGCTGAGAAGGACGATGCTGGGGCATTCGAGAAGAGATTTCGGGAGTGGAGGAGAGGAGTCGTGGAGGGAATGGATGGTATGGAGGTCAATATTGAAGGAGCTAAATTCCGGCTGAGTGCTGTGCTGCCGGGATCCGATGATTTTGAAGCGATGAAGAAGGAATGGGAAGAGATTGCTGCTTTTGGAGGCCGAGGTTTGTAAAATTTCAATCTTTGACGACAATATAGCTCTATTTTCAAGCTCATAACATGGGATTTCGAACCTCCTTTTTGTGGGTTTTTACCAAATTTGTTGATTGTTGTCGTTGTTAATGTTGTCGCCTTGTCGGTTTGGTATTTGTTGTTGTTGTTGTTGTTGATTGCCCTGCTATTTGTGACAGTACTTTTCTTTTTTTCAGGGTTTCAGAAGGGCTCAAATATACAGCCTGATACAATTGTGTTGAGAGGTTTGCCATCGAGATGGTTTGCAGAAATACGGGTGTCTCCAAAGCCTTCCGTGCTTGTCAGCCATACGATTTTTTCAATGTTTGGGGAGATTAGGTTTGAGTGATACTTTTGAGCATGATCATCTACTACTTTGCACATGTGTCTCAGCAATTGATAGGACAAGCAGTGTGACAAATTATCATTAAATAGTTTCTTTAATGAAGCAGGAACCTTGATGTGTCCAAGGACAATAGCGTAGATAAGAATGTTGGAGGGGACAAAGTGGATACTATTTCAGGGCTCCAATGTAAGATTGTGGTTCGTTTTGAGAAGCACAAGGACTTTTGCAGTGCTTTGAAGGCGCTAAGTGGCCGTTCATTGCAAAAGGTATTATGCTCTTCAATGATGCTCAGTCCTTTTTTCGTTTTTAAGTTAGGATATATAAATGTTAGACTCTTGTCCTTAATGGTTTTCCTTCTACCACCAGACCCCCACCCTCTTATCAACTATCAAGGTTGTTGTCAATGGTGTGATCGAATGGCATAGTCATGTAGTTGGTAATTTATGCAGCAAGGTTCGCGCTTGGTAGCTGACTATGATGTCAGCTGGGACAAGGATGGGTACTTCGTAAATGCTAGAAATCGAACTGGAGAAAGAGATAGATTTCCGTCTGTAAGGAACACATGGAATGAAATGGATGAAGCACCGAGGAGCAGGTCACAAAACTTTAGTCGTGTTGATGGTCGCACAAAGAGATTTAAGGTTGGTTTGTATGTTAAATGGCCAAATCTTTTGAATTTTCTGAAAGGGCATTTGGTAACATTCACATCAACCAAATAAGTTAGTCAAAAACTACTTATCCTATTTGGCAATACGTTACACTGTTTCAACTGTCAGGGTTTTTGGTTTTATGTAAACAAAGTATACTGAAAAAGATATATCTAAATAGCTCGAAAAACAAGTCTTCTGAGTTAAAAAGATAATTACCAAACACTTCAAATGTGCCTCAAACATCTCTCTTTTTTGGCCAAAATATCTTCAATTATCTTGTTTCCAAGTACCCCCTTATTCCGATCATAACTCATGAGCTCAATAAACCAAAATTAGCTACAAAGCAAAGCCTAACCATGCCACTCTTTATATATATTTCCAGGCAATATAATTTTCCGTTTCATGGTCAGTCGACAGAGGACAGAGGATTTTCTTTTCATTTTTGTTTTTTCGTTTTTGCTTTTGATTGCACATGCATTGATTTCATAGTTTACATTTTACTAAATGATGCTATCTTACATCACACAGACACTCACTTCGATCTTCTGCTTCAATTACAGGAATAAGACTGTGTTGCTTCATTATTCAGAAGCCCCAGTCCCGGAACTCCCATTTGGACTTCAGAGATGGAACTCTTAGCTTCATATATGTTTGCAGTGGACACGGAATTACAAGTTATGAGAAGGGAAATCATGATAAAGGTGAGGTCATTTTTAATGAACAGCATCTTCCTGAAATGTTTCCATATATGCATTTTTTGCGGATTCTTAAACCTTAAAATGTTACACTATTACTAAGGTTGTTGAAGTTTGAAAACTTGAATTGAGTACTCGTTGAATGATGACTGATATATATACACACAAACACACACACTTGTGTGATTACTTACGCTTACAAATTTGATCAACAACATATCACAACAATTACATTCCTTGAACTCTCCAAAAACAAGAAACATGAGAACCCTGTATACACAGAGTACAAATAATATTTACAGTGTACTAGTGTGTTTGGTACTTTGCTTGGAGGGGATTAAAAGGGGGAACAGCAGGATAGAAAGAATTCTTCCTTCAACCAAACACACTTAATCTGTATAATCAAATCCCCAAACACACTTTAAAGGCAACAACTGCAAAAGAGTTTACATTTATTGAGAACAAAAGGAACAAAAAGAAGAAGATATAAGGTGCAAGAAAATCACGAAAGCACACCAGAAGATAGGGAAGGTGGAGATGAAACTAAGCTCAAGAAAACCTTTCTCATGTCCAGTTGAACATCACACACTGAGTACTTTGGAGCTCAATTTTCTCATCTTCTTTCTGGAGCCACTAACGCTTGATGCAGCTGGACTTTCTGTATTGATGGGAATCACATACCACCCAATTGAAGCGCACATAATTGCAAAGGCCCTCCCATAAACAGCCAAGGAAGCCAAAGCCAGGATTACAGCCACAGGCAAGCAACACCTTTGATTCATCTCCCAAGGAAACCCCTTAGACGGCAGTTTCTTCCCATCATCATCCCCAGTTTCTTGAACTTCACTTCCCGCTGATCTGATCGCACGCTGCTCAGATCCTTCCTTGTCTGCTGCACCTCTGTCATTTTCAGGCTTCCTCTTCTTGCTCTTGCCCTTCTTTCTCTTGACAACGATGGGCTTGACATGGTTGGAGTTTGAGAAGGCGAAACGGACGAAGGAGATCTGATCTGAATCCCTCTGGGTGTAGATTTTCTGCTTCATGGCTTCAATATCAGCTAAGAGTGCAGAGAACTTGTCGAGGCCACGATCTGCGTAAGGGTTGTTGAATGCAGCCTTCTTCGACGATCCCTTGGGGCTTGAACATGGGCTCAGATCATCCAAGCCATATTCATCACCATCAAGATGAGAGCGTCCACAGGTGCCTAAAAGATTCAACATGTGTATATAGTAATTTGTCAAAGTTTTCAGTTTCTATCTGTAACGACTTTTGATTAACAAAGGAAAAAATGAGGGAGCACAGTGGGTCTTCGGTAGGAAGAATGGGTAAACTTACTCCGTATAATATAGTCTGAGATTATAGCTCCTAACTCTTCTCTGCTTACTGTTCAATCCGATACCGGGTACTTGGAGGTTGGGGAAAACCATTTTTCTATTCACATTTTCAAATTATATTATTCTGTATCTTTTTTAATTATATATTTTCATTGATCATTTAATAAAATAATATTGTCATATAACATTTTGTTTTGTACTCATAGATTTTTTATATTAAATATATCGATTTTTTAATGCCCAGTAATATTACGTTAGTCTAACGTCAATTTATATGCATATTATATGGAGTAATTTTGTGGTAATCAATGGATTGGGTTGGATGCTTCTATAGTTTTATTACTATTATTACGAAGAGCATTTTTCTTAATTTCTTTGACTTATTGTTTGGAGTGGGGTCAATATATAACACCCTTTTACTCATTTGATGTAGCTTTATTTATGTGTAGATTTGACAAAAAATGATCCGACTTGTTTTTGACCCGAAACCCGATCTGAAAACACTGGATTTTGAACAAAGGTTTTGATGAACGAATCCGAAGTTGACCGAATCCAAAATGACCTGCTAAAAATGGGTTAAACCCGATCGAACCCGACGTGACCGACCCGCTGAAGTAAGAATTTTTCAAAATCATACACTTTACTAAATTCCTTATATTGATTTATTTATTTAAAAATTACTTTATAGTTTAAAATAAAATAATTTTATAGATTTAAAAATTACTCCATTATTCAAATTATTGATCAATAAAATATTGAACTAAAAAAGAATATGACACTGATTAAGTTTTTTGAGTTTTAAAAACTTGCATTAATATATACTCTGTATTCACTTTGTCTCACATTAAACTTTTGATTTTTCTTTGTAGATTGATCCTAAATAAATTTGTTTTCCTTAAAAAGAGTGAAATAAATGCTTCATATTGAATCTCTTGTCTCCAGTCTCCATAAATCCTCTTCAAATATTTTATTTTAAAAAAATTTATATTGGGACAAAGGGAGTGCATTTTTTGGTATTATGAAATATTTTCAGTTTGTACCATACTTTATCAATTCGTCCTCTCGTTTTAGGGGTATTATAATTCGTACTAGTAAATCTAGGGGTGTATACGAGTCGTGACGGTTTGAGTTTATTGGTAACGTCATATAAATGGGAAAAAGCATTGTGTACCCTCAAAAAGTAGCAAATTATTTAAACGCACCCTCAGTTATTAAAAATGTCAAAATGCACCCTCAAAAATTTAATATATTTTCTTTACACCCTTAGTTAAGTGATTCACCTAAAGCAATTTTTTTATATAAATCCCCCCCGTCATATTTGTATGGAAGAATTTAGAAAATTCTTACCAAATTTTTGCAAGGAAAACACTCAAACCAACATTTTAAAACTTTCCAGTATCATGGCCTCTCGATAATTTATGTTTGTTTGCATCATTTCATCAATCATTTGATAAGATAAAATATTTTTGTCATATCTTATTTTGTAAAATTTTTAATATAATTTTGAACAATGTAATTTGTACGTTTTGTGATATATATCAATTTGTAAATAAAATGTTTTTTAAAAAAATGAGATTTTACACGTTCAAAATAGGAAATTTATTTTTAGATGGAGAGAGTATATCTTTTGACATGATAACTGTTTTGGTTTAGTACATCATTTGTTCTCATAAATAAATTAGGTAAATATCCTTTATTTTTTAATAAACAAAATCAAAGAGTTTATTGAAAAAATATTACTACATTTTTTTAGGGTACATTTTGATATTTTTGATATGTGATGGTGCAATGTAATTATTTGTTACTTTAAGTTGTTTTTAAATGGTGCAATGTGCATTTGAGCCATCCATATAAATTCCAGACTAAAATACACGAATCGTCTTTCAACTTTATGAGGTGTCTACAATTAATCCTTTAAGCTTCAAAAGTTTATAAATAATCCTTCAAATGTTCAATAACCTCCAAATGCAGTCATTCAAGTTTCAAAAATTGATATGTAGTCCTTCAAGTATTCATTAACTTTTCAAATGCAATTTTTTAAAGATATACATAAAAAGACAAACGGATTACAACTTCCATATATATAATACATAGTACTTGTCTGAGATACGTCGGAGATTCTTTTTACGCAAAGGTAATTAATGAATTTCCTTAATCCAGTCAAAGTTTTGGGTTCTTTATTATACAAATAGAATCCCTTTTAAAGTAAAATTATTCTCAGCATTTACAATGGATAAAGAGACTCAATACCCGGAGGATACGGCTATCCTCGGACATCCATTACATATCAGAAGTTGCATCTGACACTGAGGCAGAAATTATATATATAAAGCTAGTTGCATCTGGCACCCATTGAAAGTCGCAAGTTATATATATGGAGTTATTACTCCATTTATCTTTTAACATGTATCGTAAAAAAGAGTGCATTCATGAGTTGATGAATACTCAAAGATTTACTAGAGTTTTGAAAATTAAAAGACTCGATTTGGATATTGTTGAATCTTTGACAAAGTATTTATGGATAGGGTAGAGCTATTTGTACCCCATGTTTTATACATCACTTTGTATCCTGTAGCTTTGCATTAATACTTTGTGTTGGTGTAAAACTAGTTTTTGTTAATACACCAATACTTTATGTCCATGTACATTTTTGTTAACGCACTAACACTTGTGTCGGTGTAAACCATCAAAATGTTTGTGTATAAATGAGGTACAATTTGTAGTGTAAGTATAGCACAACAGTTGGTGAAAAATCACAAAATAACACACAAGTAAGCTTACGTTTAACCAATCTGCTGGTATCTCGGTTTTGTCATCTACTTTTCTTCGTCTATACTTCTTCCTCCCATGGAGGAATCCGAAGACGCAAACCCCGTCAAGAAGAAGCACCCATCCCTTCCCGAAAACTATGTCACGATCGCGATGCTCAAGGAGCGATGGCTCCAGAGGAAGAAACAAGAGGAGGAGGAAGAACACCTGAAGCTGCAACGCAATCCCAAGCCCGACCCAATCGAAGAAAACCCTAACTATGTCACGCTCTCGATGCTCAAGGAGCGATGGCTCCAGGCGAAGAAACAAGAGGAGGAGGAGCTGAAGCCGCCTGACCCCATCCACGAAAACCCAAACGGGTCGAAACCCCCATTCCGGAACCGGAATCGCCCGAAGGATCGGAGAGGATGCGTGAAGGAGTACGAGGAGGGGCCTGAAAGCATCGATTCGTTGTCGATTGGGGGGAATCGGGATATGAGGGCAGAGGAGGTGAAATTGGGGTTCCCGGAAAGAAGAAAACCTAGGGTTCTGGAAAATGTGAAATTGCTGGCAAGTGTAGCGGCTCAGATTGTCCCGAGCGAGGAGAACAGTGGGAAAGAGGGAGGCAGTGAGCTTCAGTTGGCTGAAAATGGAGTCTACAAGGCGTCTGGCAGATCACGTAGTGGAAGGAAGAAGAAGCGGAAAAAGGGTTTCAAGAGAAATGAGGGTAGAATGAATGTTCAGCAGCAGGGAGAGGAAGGATTGGGGGAGAACAGAAACAAAGACGGCAATGGGTTTGTTGGATTGGCCGAAGATACAACGCATCCGGTGGTGAAAATTGAAGAGAGGTTTCAGGATTTATCAATGAATGACCCGAAAAATGCCAATGTTAAAAAGAGGGCAACCAAGGTTAAAGACCAGCAACGGAGCACACAGTGTGAGAAGATGGCAGAGGAGGAGAGGAGGTTTAGAGGCGGTCGAAAGGATAGAATGAGGATCAGCAGTGGTGGTGGTGGGTGGCGGCAGATGGGACACAGAAGGGCGTCTTCTACAAGGGTTGGAGGAGATCAATTAGTGTGGGTAAAGAAGGGAGAAAACCCCGGTGGCTGCGTTACTGCTGATTTCAATTCTAAGGTACCTAACCCTTCTCTTATGCATAATGGATAGGGTCATGCTAGCATTATTCTAATGGATATTAAGCATTACAATTTACAAATATACTGTTAATTTACCAAATTTAGTCTGTTTTGGTTCTGGTTTAACTTCTGTCCATTGATGTCTATGAACGGTGTTAAGGGTCGCATTAAACCTTCCAACTTTGCTATGGGGATTGAAATGGTATGCTTGACGATGGGAATTTAAGTTAAGAGCTAATGCCTTAACTAAAAGTAGTTTAGTACGGAGTACTTTAGTGTAGTCTTTTTGTCTGCAGATATTTAGAGTGGCTTAACTCTATACAAATCAAGTCCTAATCCATGCTCAGTACTTTACAAGCTTAGGATGTAGCGCGATGAATTTGGTTAGAAGACCAAAACTAGGGCGGAACAGTGCCAAAGTGTTGTACTTTAAAACTAGAAAGTAATATTTTTCAAAAAACAAAGTGTTTTTGAAAAGTATTAATTTCAACATTTGAAGTATTATGATTTCGCCCGTCTCATAGAAAACCTCTTCCTTGGTACAATACAACAACAAAATCAGTAAAGTCCCACAAAAGTACGTCTAGGGAGGGTGTGTGTACGCAGACCTTGTCCCTACTAAAAAGTGGAGAGGCCGTTTCCAAGAGTTCTTTGGTACAATGTGAAAGCTAATTCTTAGGGAGCTACTCAAGATTTTTCTTGCAATTTAACATGGAGATTTTGTATTAGGTGATGAATATGTATATTTATATCTACATTTACAGGGAAACATGCAAGACATTCGTGAGCAGTATCCTATTGAAACATTGCTTTTATGATTGGAATACAGAGTATCAGTTATGGCTTTACACCTCCTTAGTTGGCCATTGATGTTATGATTTTTTTCATTAATAACTAAGTTTGCAAAAAAACTCTTCTTTTGTTTCTGTGAATTCTGTCCCTTAAGATTAGTTAGTACCTTAAGCTGACTGCTTATTAAGGTTAGGGTACTTCAAATGGAACTCAACGTGTAATATTCTTCCCTGTGGCTTCAGATAACAAACACATTTTCATTTGCAACAAGCTCAATGTAGTCCCACAAGGTAGCATTTCTTTTCTTGAATAATAATGCTGTTTTAGTTTATATCTGATATGCTTACTAGTTCATTTTAGGATTTGAATTGTTCCTGTCGTGGGACATTCTTGATACGGTGTTCTTGAACCTTGATGATTTAGCTACTTCCTGCTTAAAGTCAAAGCCCACACCTTCTGGTCCATTGGGCCTTGCCCATCACAGCTAACTAGTGAAGGGAAAGATAAAAACTCTTGCATTGTCCCAACAGTAATAGGAAATCTGGTGGCCTCATTCATGTTTAATTGAATAACTGTAAAATTTGTCAATCTGAATAACTCTCAAAAAACTGTGCTTCTGGTAAATTTTGATTATACTCAGTATTAAGGACTGAAACATTTTGTACTTGTGACTGTTATGAGCTCAGGTTCCATCTATGGATACAGATGTATGCAACCTCAATCAAAAGGCTCTGTTATGGAGAAAGGAAGAAGACTCACCTAAACATTCTAAGTACCGTAAATTCTAAAATGACTTGAGAACACTGGCCCCTTTTTGGTTCCTTCATTAGGCAAGAAAACATGGTAAGCATTTATTAAGGGAAAAAGCTACTTCGCCTCCAAGAATGTCGCCGACCTCCTTTTCCCTTCTTGCAGACATGTTGTATATGTGCTATCCGTGCACGTCTCTGTGTCTGTGAGAAGAAAAATGGAGTTTGGGGCAATGTCTCATTGCTCTTCATTAAGATACTTGGGTTAATGCTCCATGCTTATTATTCTATAAATATTAATTCGGCCAGAAAAAATCTACTTCGTACTATAACCACAAGTTTGACACCATGGATGACAACTGAATGTGAATTCATTCGCACATACCATACAATTGTCTGCGTGAAACAAATTTATAGACGATTGACATGGGATTATTGTAGCATGACTCATAATCCATAATTAATGAGTAAAAATAGTCATTCCTAAAGAGTAGAGTAAAAAAGATGTTTTGGAGCATACTGGGAAGGTGTATAAAATAAATACTATGCCCAAAATTAAGGCGTTAGCAACTTATTTTTGGCTTTTTTTTAAGTGACTCCAAAAAGTGTTTTAGGAAAAAGAATTCAATACCATTTACCAAACACTAAAATTTCAAAATTAGAATAGAGTTGATCTTATCTCGATCCGTTATATGCATTATTTTAGTTTTTTCTGTTAGAGAAGTGAGACTGCACAATTTTTTTCAATATTTTTATTTTCATATAATGTTGCTATTCTATTTTCACCTCAAAGTATGAAATATTTTTATGTGTTAAACATACGTGTTGATGCACACAAATATGTGTGGTGTGTAGTGTGATATTTCTTTGAAAAGAATAAAATAGATTACAAAATATAAAAATTACTAAAATATTACTGGGTCTATTTTTTTTGTTTTGAATTCATTACTCGGTCTATTTTGGTTCTTCATTTTGAAACGCAATTTTGAAATATCAAAATTCTAAAGTATGCCTATGTCTAAATAAAGATATTAATTAATGGTTAAATTATTACATTAAAGATCGTGAAAGTCAAATGAGATGAACTAAAGTAAGCAGAGGGAGTACCAAATTACAATTGAATGAAAAATATTACTCCGTATATACTTTGTAGTTCAATTTAACTTTAAAATATTAGAAACAAATACGAATATATCCAATATCCGACCTATGCATTTATGATTTTAGTTTTTAGCATTCGTCAAGATCCACATTCGAATTTGATATTTCATAAAATTTAACGGATGTGAATCCGGTTTTGACACATTTGATCCGATTAACATCTGTTAACACTCAAAGTCGTGCCATGACATTAAAAACAATGTCAATGGAACCTGCCAAAACTTCCAATAATAGTTGTGTATTTGTATGAAGGACGAATATTCAAAGCACGAATAGGAATAATGGATACATCGTACGGAGTATATTCACCTCCTCTGTCCAACAAAGGGAGCGTTTTTTTTAAATATGCAAACAATGTGTATATGATAGAGTAAATAAATGCTAGGGGCACCTCGTGTATGATCTCGAAATTTGTTATATATCGTCCTTCGCACAAACACACAACTATTATTTAAGCGTGTTGGTGATGATCGAGAATAAAATAACAAACTTGAGATCATCTTTTGGGTGCCCTAAAAAAGTCCTTATAGTAGAGACCTACTATTACACATTTACACATGTGATCAAAGTGGTTGATAGGAAAGCCACCTTGTCAACATGGCAAGGCACTCCTTTGGTTTGTACTCAGGTGCCGTGTGACCCCCTCCCTTTACCGTTGCGAATGTCATCTTATTCGTGTAACTCCTCGTATACCTTTATAAAAAAACGAGTTACACGAGGAATGTCATCATAGTTGACACCACCAATATTTTATATATACTATGTAACATCATTGCAGTTAAAATAACATTTTTCGTATATTTACGTGGTAGGATTATTAATTTGTGTAAAAATACTTTGAGAAAAATGTTGTTCATATAAAAGATAGGTATAAATAACTAACCCTGCAACTTGTTGGTCTTCACCCATCCATGGCCGCCACTCATCAACAGTGGAATAGTTTAGAGATCGAATCCATGCTTGTGTCGAAAGGAAGGGTATGGTGAAGTCGTGATCTCCGCTGTACACATACACCAACATATACACCGGTTAATTTTGACACCAGTCGAATTGAGGCCGTTACAGTGTTTTGTTTTATGAAAACACCTGTAAATGAGTGATCTGTAGCCTTTGGCGCTGAGATTTGCGTGATACGGCGTTACATCATCCCTCGCGTATACATAATCCAAATCGGAGTTACATCGTCTCCATTCTCCCATAGATTCCTGTCACATATTTCTCATTATATTTACGACGATACTATAGTAACATCAAGTTTGAAACTTTGTTTCATAGAGATACAAAAAATTTTATTACGCATGTGAGTTGTATAGATGGTTGTTGTTTGTGCATTTTTATGAAATGCGTTGTGCTAAACTTTCTTTTTTATTAGGAAATATTCTATCTGTCCTAGTTTAGGTTACATTTCATTATTCACATTATCAAACTTTAATCACTTTTTTAATTTTACGCCATTTTTAAATAAATAAAAAGTTCCAACAGAAAAACTTAAACAGCGGATAATATAAATTGGGATGGGGAGAGTACCTTTCTGACATGGAGCGCGTCTCGAACCATCTCTTCATTCGCCCAAAGGTATGACAAATCATACCATTGTGCCTAAAATTTGCACTCCAAATGTTTGAAATTATTAAATTTCTATTTATATACGGAGTAAAACTCAGACTATACCCTCATTTTAACCATCACTACTCTGTGTCGAGTGCGTACAAAGAATTATCACATTAGATAAAAAAAATTGACGGTATTACAGACGAAAATGGATAGACCACTTAAGAATGAGGGAGTATTTAAGCACATACCCGAAAACATTCAGGGCCTAGAATGGAAGTACCATGAAGATTATTGTTTTGGTTAGACTTTTCCATAAGCAACTTTCTTTGTGCAGAAAACTCGAAGCCCTCTTTCGACCTCCTCAAATGTCCACCAAAGGTTTCGTTGCATTTTGCCTCTAAAATATGATCCTCATAAACTATGCTTGTCAACTGAACGTACGTTATAGAAAATAAATAACATTATTCAAAAAAATCTTTCGCGTAGACTATAGATCTTAAAAGATATTGGTCAAAATTTCATCATAATGTGTGCCCTAAATGTGGAGCGGATGTGGGTGCTGGCTATTGTACCTTTTTGAACGTTTGGAAGTCGGCGTAACACTTGACGTTTTCTGGGTTAATGTTTAGATACGACACACCTTGGCAATTCTTCTTCAACGACTATAGGTCGAAAAAATACAATGCCATTGTGTATTTAGATTCAAATCAATTGGAAGAGTAGTGGATGAGAATATCATTATTATATTGAACCTTAATTAGATTGATTAATTACCTCGAAAAGCTCATCAGAAATGAGACCCATTCCGTGAGCGTAGGGGAATTTGTAGTCAGCTTCCTCCGGGAAGGTTAATGGATTGCCAAGTATGTACCCCTAAATGCATATACAAATGTATTAATATTAATTATCCACACCCACATCTAAATTATGTGCCCGTTTGGCAACCGCTTCAGCTTTTAGCTTTAACATTTTTATCGAAAAGACTATTTGAATGGCGGTTTTCAGTTTTAGTGTTTTTCGAATTAATTTTCACCATCATTAAGCATGCAAAGTGATCCAAAGTGTTAGCGCTGAATGAAAACGGTGTTTCCAAACGGGACCTATATAAATAGAGCTAGCTAGGCTTGTTGCAAACCTGTAGATTGATTTGGTAATTCATTCCATTTTCATTCCCTGGAATTTTAGGAAAGGGTGAAGTTGTGAGAGGTATATATAAATAAATGAATACTCTGGGTAAATAATTAAATAAAGAAATAAATAAATAGAATTGAGCTGGAGACTTTCTATCTGATATAATTTGAGTGATGATTGGAATGAGTTCACCAGCATAAGAGTCACCCGTCACATAGAATGGATTTGCTACAAATTCTTGATTCTCACTTAGCCACTGCACAAACATTATTGAGAAATGACACACACACACTAGATGTGCTTTCTTATGATAGTATTTAAATGTCAAATTTTTATATGAGCGAGTAAGGTTTCGTTGACACTGGCCAACGGTGTCACTAGCAGTGCCACTGTGCTTTGGGAACACCTCCGGTGCTCTGTTTGTAAAATTAGTGGTTCATACCCCATAAACCTTCATGCCCCAATCCCAAATGTGTGGCTATTATGTATTGCACAACAACCGCACATTTGGAGAGGGATTGGGGTGGACCAGAGGCACTCCAAAAACGTAGTAGAACTGTTGGCCAGTGTCAACAGAATCGTGCCCCTACTACATAACGCTCGTTAAGAAATTGATCAGATTAATCTGTGCAAATCCTTCTAATTGGCTTAATTGCTATGATAAGAGCAAAGTAATTGAATTTTTTTTAAAAAAAGTACAATAATAAAGTAAAAGAGACCTTGCGCAAAAAATCATATGCATGTTGGCACGCCTGAGTAGAATTTGACCGATGAGCGGCTTGGTTTGTGGCATAGGAGAAGCCCGTCCCCACCGGTAAGTCCAAGAAAATAATGTTTGCCACCTATATATATATATATATATATATATATATATATATATATATATCCCCAAACATTCACCTACATAGCAATATATACTCCTCTTCTTCCAATAATATTTTACATTCTTTTTAAACATTGCATCAAGGGTAATTTGAAGGGAAAAAATGAACGCAAAAAATATCTTTTCTTTAAATCCCATAAAAATCAAAATAAGAAAGACTTTGAAGGATGGAAGAAGTATTAAACTGCGGAATATAGAACAGAGTGATGATACAGAGTATAATAATGAAACCTCGATAATAATACACCTTGGTTCCCATGACATTGAGATTCAATGTCATTGGATGACCCGAGGTTCATACGATGCTTCGTTCGAAAAATTGATGGTTTTTACTCCCCCTAACACCCCAGTAAACCTCCACCCCCAGCCCGGCCCAAATATACCCCACCCCCGTCAATTGCATGCCACAAGATTTAGTTGACGTTGGAGTCGAATTTTGACATGGGGGATTCATGTCAACCGAGCCGCCCCATAATAATAATAATAATAATAATAATAATAATAATAATAATAATAATAATAATAATAATAATAATAATAACAACAACAACAACAATAAAGAACAAAAAAACAATGGAGTTCAAATTACAATGGGTACCTTTGTCCATGAATAGGGGCGTGATATTAATGTGGGCAAGCTCCCATTATATTTCAACGGTGCGAATGTTATGGGACCTTATTAATTTGTCCATCCCCACATGCAATTTATTTGATAACACTGAATCAATTACCTAACGTTATAAACATACTCCGTACGGCAAAAAATAAATTCAAAGTCTGCCTCCCCAAAATTTGGAAAGCTCCCAAGCTCTCAGCTCATTGAGCCATTTGAGGCTATGTATGTTATGGTGGGGTTCCACGGAATTAGCCTTTTCAGAATTAATCTACACTGTTAAAATATTATCCAAAACTCTAAGGCCCCGTTTGGTACACGGAATTCAAACTATGGAATTGGAATTGAAGACTTTAATTCCAATTCTGGTGTTTGGGAGCACAGAAATTATGTGGATTTGGAATGCATAGTGCAAAAAATGAATTAGAATTGGTGAATTCAATTCTATGGAATTGAATCTCATAGAATTTCAATTCCATCAATTCCGTATACCAAACGGACCCTAATGCTAATCGAAAATAAAAATTGTTCCAAAACAAAGTACAATAAGTAGGAGGGTTGAATGGTTTTACCAATCTCAAAAATGATGCCGGAAAGAGTGGAGCAACCGGGTCCGCCGTTGATCCAAAGAAAGAGCGGGTCGGACTCCGGATGACCGGACTGTGACTGGATGAAGTAGTAGAAGAGCTGCACTGATTCTGAATCTCCCACGCCTATGTACCTGTATCACGGAGTGTTTTGTTTAATTAGGACGTGTTTGGTTTGAGACTTCTGATACAGAAAGAAAGAAAAAAAGGGGAAAGAAAAGATCAGAGAATTGAACCCGGTTTGAAGGTTGAAGGGCAGAGGGCCGTCGAATCCGGGAAGAAACTTGACGGCGGAGCCACCTGCGCCGCCGCCGCCGATTAGCTGCGAACAAATCTCTAAAACAAACACGGCACTCAACAAGAGCGTCTTCATCCTATGAGTATATATATATATATACATACATATATATATATATCTTTCTTCTCTTACTGTTTTTTCTCAGCCTTGCTCGCTTTGACTGTGTCTTTTCGGGGAAAAAGAAGAAGAGAGATGGGTATATATCTATTCCATGAGTCCCAAATTCTCAAAGTCTTAATTTATTGAATGTGATGTAAAAATTTTAAGAGGAATCTATGACACAAATTCAAGTATATATAATATGAGTAACAACTAACAATTATTACTAGAGTACTAAATCTTTCCTCTGTAAATGAAAAAATGTATCATTATAAAAAATATTTCTTGTGCCTAAAATCACAAATTCAAATTTTTGGTTGAGTTGATTTTTTGTCATGATATCAGAATCTTGTTAATTATGAATTCGCGAATTTGATACTCACCGCCACCTAATTTTTTAAAAAAATAAAGAGGTTATGTTAGGGGTGTTAGAAACTTAGAATATAAAAACCTTTACACCTTGAAGAATTTCAAAATCTTAGTTTTGTTTGATTAAGAGAAAAATTGCTAATGGAAGAATTTATTTTGCTCAATTATTTGTTTGGTTGTTGTCAAGAAAGGTAAAAACATCTCAATTTTTTGTTTTGTACCCCTGTCACCTCGGGTAGTAATGCATGACTAATGCTTTGTTTTTTTAATGTGTTTCTTTGCATAGTTCCAAATTTTGGGTTTCAAATGATTTCTTTGAGACGTTGGATTTTAAATGATGGTTGGATGTTTCCAATCTAAAATTAATTACTCCATAGTATACACATTTGTTAGATACTCATACATTAATTGGAGTTAATATGTTAAATTTTAATTTTTTTTGTTTTTTAAATACATAAAAAATAAAAATGTAATTTTATATTTTAATTTCTTGGAATTTATATTTGGGTAAAGAACCAAAATAGTAGTAAAACATATGACATATGCTCAAAATAAGAGTTGAAACATAAACTCCCCTAAATAGAAGTAATTAACTTAATTAATCTAATGACTTAGAGTTAAGGAATGAAATAGAAGTAAAACATTGACCACGTAACAAAATAAAAGTTATAATCATATTACAAATATGAAATTAAATATATTATATAAATTTAAAAAACTTAAATTAGCTACAGCCAGCCCCACATGTCACTGTCGCCACCCCTTCGCCGTCATTCCACCGCCACAATCTCCTACTACCATCGCTATTAAATGCGGTCACCATCTACATTGTTGCTACCAGTCCTGCCACTAACACCGCCACGGTCGGCACTATCACCGTCATCGCCACCATAATCTGTTGCTCTTTTCCCCATTTGTGGCGAATGCCGCCTCTGTTTGCTGTTGTCAATGACACAATTTACTACCAACGTTGTGATCAAGATTGCCATTGTCACCACCATAGTGTCATGGTGTCACTGCCAAGGGTAAAGGTTTTCATTAATACAATGTCAATCAAAGCCACAATGTCAAAGACGATAATGCATACTGACAAACATGTCATTGATTAATACCAAACATGTTATTGCATAATGTCAAATGTGTCAACATAAAATATCAAAAAGAAAGTGAAATGTCAATATTGGTAACATACAATATCAAGTTTTTTGTCACCATCACCAAATTTTGCTGAAATTGGGAACAAATTAAAATCTAAACACCTTAAGAAAAAATGTGGAGAGATAACTACTGTAAATGAAAATGCAATTAGCGTAAATAATTATCACCTTAAGAAAAAAATGTGCTGGGGGCAGTGGGGGTAGGGGAGGGGGCATAATTGATGCATGTGAAGAGCTTTCAAGTGGTATTATTATTATTATATAATTACGATGGAGTAATAATAATAATAATAATAATAATAATAATAATAATAATAATTATTATTATTATTATTATTATTATTATTATTATTATTATTATTATTATTATTATTATTATTATTACTCCATATTGGCAGCCATTTAAGACTCTTCCCTTTTATGAGGTAAATATAAACATTTCGTATAATTGCAATTGCTGCAAGGCTAATAATGATGGAATTTGCACTATTATTCATGGCGCTAAAGACTACACTTGACTTCAAATTCTTTAGACTTAATTAATTACTCCTATTTAGGGGAGTTTAAGTTTGAGCTTCTATTTTGAGGATATGACATATGTTTTACTCCTATTTAGGGAGTTTTCTTTTTATATTTTTATTTATAATACTTTCTCTGTCCACCATAGATCTTCCCAGTTACTATTCACAGGATCAAAATCCACTCACTTTGTTTGCTCATTTTTACTAGTCATTTCGTAAAATAATATAATCTTGTCACCTCTAGTTTTGTAGAATTTTTCATGTAGTTTATTACTATATGAATTTTATTTTAAAATTTTACTCCTATAATCAATTAAATTAAATTGAAAAATAAAGTCGGTCAAATCTCGTAACGCGTAATGGGAATATCTTAGATGGACGGAGGGAGTAACTATTTATGCAACATAAATCTTTTTATCTGAAGTAGTATTTCGGTAGAATCAACATAAAAATAAATTTTAATTTTTACGTTTTGTAAATGAACAAAATAAGATGTATGATACTCCCTCTGTTCCCCTGTATTTGTCCACTTTTATTTTTGCACACCATCCAATGCACTTCTTTAATTCATTTTATCTTGTAATTTGTATATTAAAAAATTATAAAAATTATATATTAATAATCTATATGTTAAGACAAATCAAACAAGATCACACATGACTATATTTAGGCTTACACATTGAGAGAATTTGATGAGTCAAAGTGCTTAGATGAACAGTTCCAAAAGTCAAATGTGGACAAATATAGGGAGACGGAGGGAGTACAATTTGATAATAATTGATCTTATTAAATAATAAAGAATACATCATTATATATAAGATTATAAGAGAAAATTCTAATCTAAGCATGAGAAGTAATTAATAATAATACAATAAGAAAATCATGTAATAAGGAATCTAATGAATAATAATATTCTATTTCCTAATAATACATTTATTATTCTTAATATATCCCCTGCAAGCTGATCATAGGTTGGAACATAGGTACTGGAATTGAGCAGACAGAAGTATTCTTGTGAGGATAGCCTCTTGAAGTAGGGAGCCAGATCTTTATTGCATGACTAACAAGCTTGAGGTTACGTTTGCGGGAGTTTTTTCCTGATGAGAGTGTTGGCTAGGGGTGAGAAGTTTCTTTTTTTCCTTGTGGGCCGTCCTCTACTTATATATCACTTTCCATGCTCTTGATCTCTAGAGGAAACACAAACAAATATAACTTTCTCGTTTTTCAATCATGCACATGATGATTTTTGTGAAAGAGAGAGAGATAATGGGTTTATGAGAGAAGGAGATGAATAATGGACAGTGGGCTGTTAGGCATGCTTGTCGAGATCAATTAGTGACGCCATGATGTCGGAATAGAGAACGGCGATGTGCTTGGTCGGAAAAGAAAGGGCTAGGTTTTTTAGGACCTTTGCTCCGATAGCATGATACAATTTGATATAATTGATCTTATTGAATAATAAAGGATATATCCATATATATAGAGATTACAAGAGATAATTCTAATCTAAGTATGACAAGAATTATAATAACAATGCAATAAGAAAATTATGTAATAAGGAAGATAATGAATAATAATATTCTATTTTTTAATACATCTATTATTCCTAATAGAATGTATTTTTGTAATGTGTATTTTTATCTGAAGATATAGAAACAAAGACATCAAATGGTCATTTTAACAAATTCTAAAAAGTTACTATTTACTTTTCATTTATGAACCCTTTTCTCTAGCTCACAACAATTATATTTTTTTTCTAAATGGTTGGTTCAAATTAAAAATGAAGACAAAAAAATTTGCACAAATGTGGATGCAATAGGTCATGTCTTCATCAAATTATTATTATTATTATTATTATTATTATTATTATTATTATTATTATTATTTATTACTTAATCTTATTGAAACCATATCACACTAGACCACATTAGAAACAACTTTAAATGTAACTATAATCAAATTAGATCAATCAAAACAAAACTTATTTCAATTATATCATAATTAATTAGATCAGATCAGGTGAAGAGAATAAGATCATAATAACTGGGTGTCTGTATCTCTAAGTTTTTCATCATTCTAGGAAGACAGAGTTGGACATTAGAGGGAGAAGCAGTCAAGGCTAAGCGCTTCTCTCCTTTTTCGTCTGGTTTTGGAGGAAAATATTTTTCTATATTTTCAACTCATTTTTCCACAATTTTTTTCTCACTAACCAAACAATAAAATTAGTTAACTTCTCATTTTCTTTTCATTTCCACACCAAAATTCACAAAACAAACAAAGCGCGAGTTTTAATTTTAACATATATCTACTCTACTACGACTAAAACATACTTCATTCGTCCCTACATATTTACCACATTTTGAAAAATGAGGCAAAATACCAAGTTTTTTAAGTTCATTTTACTTAAATACTGGTATAGAAATAAAAAATAAAATTTACATATTTAAAAAATATATGAAAAATTCTTCGAAATAAGAGGTGTCAAAATATTTTATTCTATCAAATAATCCATGAAAACGTACAAACAAATAAAAATTTCCGTGAATGTTGAAAGAAGAAATGTGGCAAATATTTTGGGACGGAGGGAGTAGATTAATTTAGAGACAATTTTTCTATTGGTATTTTTTTATTGATTTTTTAATTATTCTGTTACTTTTTGATAAAATAAAATAGTGTTGTCACACTTTATTTTGTAAAACTTCTGATGTGTTTTAAAATATTCCATGTATAAATTTTATTTTTTTAGTTTCACACTAATTTTAAATAAATTAAATTGAAAATAAATTTATTTAAACATTTTAATCCCCCATTGTCTTAATTAAATTGATAGAAAGTTAAAAACATCTGGTTTCAAATTCAAAGATACTTCTATAGATATAGTTGCCGTTTGTGTTTGGTTTTTTATGCTAAAAAAGACGTGAAAAAATGGGAGCTTTTTCAAATTTCCTTTTGAGCCAGATTCCAAACCATAGTCCCTTATGTCATATGCCATATGGCCAAATTGATATCAACCCACCTTATTATGTTCACCAATTTTTTTGACTATAGTGAGGCGTAATTCAATGGTTGGTATACGGATGTTAAAAAATAGAAATATCGAGTTTGAAGCTTAGTAACTGTGAT